AGCCAAGCGTTATGCTATTATAACAAAAGAAAACACACACAAACACGTAGACGACCCGGGAATGAAAACCATAATATGAAAACCACAATTATAATAATTATATGTACTGCATGAGTAAAGATGTTGGGGAATGAAAACCGACATATCCGGTTACCTTAATCTTTTGTTCCTTATGCCCTGTTGAAGTGGCATAATTTCTTGAGGCCTGCAAACATAATATGAAGAAAAGGCACCTTATAACATCAATCCTGAAGCATGACCCGCTGAGCTGAGCGAAGCTGAGCTTAGCTTCCAGCAAACCTGATTCTCATAACAGACAGCACAATTCGTTTATTTATAGGCAGAATAATGCAGGTCCTTAAAAGTAAAATAAATAAGCTTTAAAATCCAATAAATTCAGAAATAGTCAAACAGACGGAAAATGGTCAGATTGCGTTATGGTGTAAACTGAAGATTCTCCTGCAAGCCAAAAAAAAAAAAACTTTTTCTCCCTCGTCTAAATAATTTTAGCTTAAGAAAATATAAATTTTAAATCATTAACAAAACTTAGCTGTAAACCAGGAAGTCTTAACTCGTAAGAAACTAAACATTGCAGTAGTACATCGATAGATTGTCGAAGGAAAATTGGGTAAGCGAATGTGAAAGCAAAGAAAGCATTTTCGATGGTTTTAATTCTAATACCAGGTAGTTTGCAGGGGCAGTATGGAATCGGGGAAGCGTCGACCCACTGTGTCGAGAGACAATCAGAGTAGGGATGGCCAAGTTTGTTGAAGAGGGCAATGCCGTGTCTGATTCTGCCAGACAATGCCATTCAGATAAACTTTAATGATCTGAAATCTCACGTTTCTGGTGAAAATCCAGCTCTTGAGGAAACAAAACGGTGATCGGAAAAGTGAAATGAACTAATGAAGACGGAGCCGATCACGGCTTGATGCGCTCCTAGTGTCAGACAGAATATATCTTAGTGGGCTGGAAAGCCCAAAAATGTAAAACACTCAAGGGGGACCCAAAAAAAACAAAAGAAATATCAACTTGTATAGGGATATAAAAACAGTGATTCATCATTGGCATCAATTTTTTTATTTCTAAATCCATTTTTGAAGTTTGGCTTAAATTACATTCAATTAAAATAATACCTTTTGTTATAGTATTACAATAAGTTAAATTCACACCCATAAAAACATAGTTTGGTATATTTGCCACAAAAAAAAGCATGTAAATCAATGTTATGCCATGCAACAAATGTTATTTATATTAAATTTTATTTTAATCCTTTAATTTTATAAAACATTTATGAAAGAGAAATTGAAACCTAAATTATGAATATAAGCCAATTAGATAATCATGTATATAAAAACACGTATCTTTTAGTTTTAAATATAAAAGCTATTTTATAATATAAATGGTAGAAAGAGGTGTTCCAACGGGGAAAATTGGCAGGAATGGTCCCACTTCTAACCTAAGAGATTATTATATTTATATTATATGAAAAAAAAAAAAAAGGAAATATCTATTCAGCAAATATGGGGCACTGGAAAATATCTTTGCAGGGAAATGTCGGCGGATTTATCATGATTGGCAATTAATTTTTAAAAAAAAAAAAATTGAAGCCTTGTCACACATGAAAAGACCCCAAAAAAAAAAAAGGGGAAGCTGATAAGCATTGGGTCAGGTCATGATAGGAGTCGTAACGTGCTACGACTTTTATACGTTTTGGGACCTTGACTCTGTTGAAGCTTCTTTCTTTTGCTTGTTACTAAACCTCCGAAAATTCTTATCAGAGTTTAAACGCTCCGAATTATAAAGACCGAAGAGCTTTCACAGAGATCACCCCAGATACAACTACCCATCTTCTTTCTTCCATCAGGATTCAGTGAAGCTCAGATTAACCCTGTTTCTGCAAAAAACCACTCTTCCTCTGTTTCTCTCTGTTTCTGCAAAAACTACTCTCTCTGTTTCTATTTGAGGAAACGATGCTGCCGATACTGTTGATGGTAGCAATTCCTTTCACGCTGTGTATTCCGCCGATCAGGAACATCAATCGGTTGGTGGAAACTTCGGAACAGATTGTGAGAGACCAAACAATTCGAGCTTTATATGCCCACTGGTTCTACCCCTGCCTGCGCTTTGCTTGGTCTCATCTAGTCAGTTGTTTTGTCTGCAACTCAATCTGAATCACTCACCCATCTTCTGGTAAACACTAGCCACAACTGACTTTACTTCATGTTTGTTTGTTATCATCTGAGTTCTGTATTGGCTTATCTCAATATAATCTCTTTAGTTTGGTTGTTGACTTCCATGAATAAGTAAATCTATATAAGAACAATGATGAGTCGGAGATATGCAGAGATGTCCATAACATGTAATGCATAGGAAAATACGTATTTGAAAGTAACTCAAATTATCTACTTTTCTCAAATGGACCAAATCTACCTCAACAATCATCCGCAATGCTGAATAATATAAACTCGAACTACTTAAAGTTGCGCCAATATGGTTGGCAAAAAAAAAAAAAGTTGCGCCAATATGGTTTATAGTAAACAGAGCACGTATAGAGACCGCTGAGCTGCTTCTAGCCTACCCTACCTACTTGTAGCATATTCACACTGGGAAAAAAAAGACTGCTAAAACAGAGGATTAAAAAAATATTCATTAACAGACCAAAGAGAACTCCCAGAGTCTATGCTGCCTCTAAATTATTTATAATGAATGGATATAGAAATACTCGTGGTTTAAAACCATGAAAACTGCTTAACATGTACAATTATTTTAGAAATTATTTAAGGTCAAAATGAATTAAAAATTAGAAATAAAATGACTTAAAATTTTATATGTCCTTAATATAAAAACTTGTTTAATTTTTATTTTGATCCTGAATATAAGACTTTAACTCACTTTGTCTCTCATATTTATCTATTTTTTTAAAGGTCATCCTTGTAATAATAGTAGTTCCTTGTAATAATAGTAGTTCTAGGCAATATATTTGATTTGAAAAGAATATTTTAAAAAAATAACATCTATTTATTACAAATAACTAATTTAACTAGTCTTTTTAAAATATTCAAATTAGTTAACTATATTAAGCATAAAAGTAATATTTACAATCAAATTGATCATCGTTTAGCTCTTTTATATATATATATATATATATATATATATATATATATATATATATATATATATCACGTAAGCGAGATATTCATGTCCCAAGGAAGTCTTAACTCGTAAGAGACTGAATGGATTGATAGATTGTGGAAGCCAAATTGGGTAAGCGAATGTAAAAGCAAAGAAGCCATTTTCGATTATTTTAATTGTAACACCTGGGAATTTGCGGGGGCAGTGAGGAATCGGGGAAGCGTCGACCTCTGTGTAGAGGGAGAATCAACGGAGGGATGCCCAAGTTTGTCGAAGAGGGCAATGACCGGTCTGATTCTGCCAGACAATGCCAATCGGAAAAGCTCTAATATTCTGAATATTTTGCGTTTCTGGTGAAAATTCACCCCCTCAGGCACACAACGGCGATCGGAAAAGTGAAATAAAGATGGTGGCGATTCCGGCTTGATCTGCTCTGATCGTCAGACGGAACAGATCTTAGTTGGCTGGAAAGCCCAAATATGTAAAACATTCCCAAAAAAAAAAAAGGCAAGAAATCATCCATCAATATGTCCCTACCGCCGTACACTTAATATAAAATACAGTTAACTAATTTAAAAAATTAAAAAAATTAAAAATATATTTCAAAGTATTTATATTTATCATTTTTATGTATCTAGCAATACATATAAACACTTTAAAAAGATTATAATTAAGTAATTTTTTAACTCTCTTAATCTTATCAAATTAGTTAATAGAATCTTATGTTAAGAACAAGAGATAGTAGAATCCAAAATTTTACAATTATTCAAAAATAGTCGTATAAATTATTTTTCTTTCTGTAATTCCATCTTGAAAATTAATCTTGCGCAGCGTAAAAACACTTATTCTTTTATTCTTTAATTTTATATGAAATTTTATTTTAATCTATTAAATTTATAAAGTGTTTTGATAGTCTTATAATCTAAACACTTTTAATTTTATTAACAAAGAAATTTGATATATTAACTTTAATTTTTTTAAACAATAAAAAATTATTATTTGAAATTAATGCTGTCAAAGTTACACGACTGAAAGTAAATGCTTTATGAAACTAAGAAATTAAACTAAAATACTGTAATGAAGTTAAAGAATTATAGCAAGTTAAAGATTAAGACATACTTTCGCCCACACATATTTTGAAACGTAGCATTTAAGAAATCGCAATCATGAATGAGCGAGGAATTTGGCACGATCTTTTTTGCTTTTTCGGGTTTATGATTAGAAATCAGAATCACGGATAAGGGATTTGCTCCCGCCGTCTGTTTTTTCTGTGAATTTGGTTAAGATGATATAATTCTAATTTATCAAGACTTAATGCCGATAAAATTATATATTGAATGGTTGATACTTCTCCCAGTAGATATTTAAAATTACATTAATTGCTTTCTAAGAGATTAGCCTCCTTCCACTATCCCCAATTATCATTGGTAATTTAATATTTAAATCGGGAAAAATGTTGAAAAACATGGATGAGATCGCGATGGACTAGTATGGTCCTACTACTTGTATAGGACTGGAGAATATTGCGTTCGTATTGGAGGATATTGCGTTCGTAAAGCCTCTTCTAGCTTGTCACTAAACCTTAAAGAACTCTTAGAATGATCAGAGAGAGAGAGATCGGGCCAGATATAAGCAGCCAGTTTTTTGTTGCTTTCCGTTGGGATATTGAGAGGGAATTCCGAGAAAATAATGGTGCCGCAGATATTGTTAATGGTGGCTGGTACAGCATTTCCTTTCACGCTGTGCATTCCGCCAATTCGGAGATTCAATCGCTTGGTTGAAACTACAGAACAGATTGCGAGGGACCCAACAATTGGAGCTTTATATGCACAGTGCTTCTACCCCCATCTGCGCCTCCTTTACTCTTACTTGGTCACTCGGTTTCTCTCCAACTGAATCACCGTCATCTCCCATCTTCTGGTAATCTTATCTAATGTTTGTCTATCATCTGAAATCTGAGTTTGGTTTTTGACTTCCATGGATATGTAAACATAAGAACAATGAAAGGTGATAAAGAAAAAATTTAAGAGACGTATAATTCAGAAGAGGGATCTTTAGATGATGAACGTATTGACTGACCTTGTTAATGCTAAGCCATTTACTGATGCATTCGCCATGGTAAACATGCCGGCAGGGTAATTTTATTTGTTGGTCACCTCTTCTATACGTCATCTGACAAATAACGCACCTGCGTTTCCGCGCAATTCGATTGTTAGAGAATATTTAACATGGTAATAGTTGACGAAATTTAACAAGAAAAGGGAAAGGGGCTTGTAGATTGTGATGGTAAGAGATGCACCGATTTGGGTTCATAAGAGTTGGAACGAACTCACGAAAGGATTCATATTCATCGCATCACACCGAGTGAACGAAACATGTTCAAATAAAGACCAAGAATCAAGATCATGTTACCTTTTCCCAAAATTTTTTCTTTTAAATAAGTTTCCAAATTTGAACTTCGAGGTCGGCAGTAAATCAATAAGTTCTTGAGAAAGACCTCGGCTTTGAGTTCCAACTGCCTCACCCAAGTCCAGTAATTCCTGCAAAAAGTTAAAAAGAAATTACCAACTTCGCATATGAATATGCTCTTTTTTATTTTCAATCAATATGAAAGTGTGGGAAGATGCATAACTTATGATCTCCCCATTTTCTTAAATCACTTACTATGCCATAGACACATGACATTTGAATGCGAATCAATGTCCGAAAATATGTTAATAAATCATGTGAAACCAAACAAATTTTGACTGCACATCAAGCATGTCAACTTTGACTCTTTCACTAACCTACAGATATAGCAGGGTCCTAAATGCCTAAAATACTTCCCCCAGTTCTTACTAAATGTTACCTTGCCAAGAAAACTGAACATCACAAACAAATGTTTGAAAAGAAATTAAAAATTCCAAGAACATAGAAACTGCATCTTTATATGTCTAGGTTGGTTGCAGCAGCATAATATAGGTAGATTTCTAGGTGCAACGAACCTCATAAGTCATATTATCTGGATCGATGTTGTCTTGCCATATAACCTGCAGCAATGCGGAGAAACAGTAGGTAGATTAGTTCTGAAGAGCAAAATACAAGATGTATATCCTGGTTTCAATTTATCAAATCATAAGTTACAACAACAGCAAGCCTTATCCTACTAAATAGGATTGGCTATATGGATCACATGATGCTCTTGTGCTCTATTAATAACTAAATCCATATCAAGTCACAAGTTAGGAAAAAAAGAAATGTAGCATGGGTCAACCTTATAACATAATTAAGTGCTTGAACTGCAAAATTGATTCTGTATTTTTCTCATTTTCCCCCTTTTCAGCTAACTAATTCCAAGTTATATAGAGCATATTCCAAAGAGGACTCTTTTATCCGTCGGACATCAAGTCAGTTTGGGGAATCAAGTATCATCTTCAAGAAATATATAATTTCTTTCACCCCTCTCTTTCCAGAGAGAAAATGAATGTAACCAGTAATCAAAGATGTCTCCAAATTTTCAAGCGTATAGGTTCCCCCGCAAGCCTTACCGGGAAGCCCTGACATATATCCAAACATAGAAAGAAGAAAGGAGCTGCCAAAGGTTCTTAAATCAGGCACATGAATAAGAAGGCCACCTACCGGAGCACTACTGGAATCATGACGATTTGGGCTGGCTGCAAAACAAAAAAATTTCATCATATAATCCTCACACTTTTCCAGATAGAATACAATGTAAACAGCACTCGCATCCCAACTCTAAAAATGAAAGATAAAATACATTCCACATCTACAAAACGAATCCCAAAAGACAAGGTTGCTGTAGCTCCGTTACTTTTCTAATACAAACTAAAACAGCAATTAGATCAGCGGAGAAAAAGAAAAAGAAGCGGGGCAGGGGGACCTTCACTTTAAAAAGTTATGGGTGATTTCAGCTTTACCAGCCCACACCTTTTCCCTGTCTCTCATCTCTCCAGAAACATTACTGTGATGCAAGCCACTAGAAACTAATAAAATATACATATATAAGTTTACATAGTACTCATTTTGAGAGTAAGGAAATTTCCACTGAACGACTTACATTAGGCAACTATATAATATATATAATCTAAATCTACAAAAAAAATTACTATTCATAAGTTATGAGTAATGTCATTCATCTTATACCCCACAATCTAATCTGATGCTAATAAGCTATAAGTGTGACCATAGGGCCATGTGCATAGGAAAGGAAAGCAGGTTTAAGCTTACATTGTTCAGTAATGGTCTGCATCCCATTCACTCCGTCCCCTCTGGATGGAGAGCCTGTTGTGGTGGGCTCCTCAGTGGTCGTTGTTAAAGGATATTCCCACTCTCCCCTGTCGACCTCCAGTCTAGGGAAACTATTATCTTCTTCGTAAGAACCATAATAAGATGCACCATCCGGACCAGACAATCCAAACTTGTAAGGGTTCATGTTCATTGACCAGTATTCCTGACCACCAGCATATGACAATATGCATTATGATATATTATGATCATGTTTAATCGGGCAGAACTATTTGATTAGTGAGAAAAATAAAGCCAATCACAATATATGAGGTCCATGAATAGCTATAAACAAGACATGATTAAAAGTAGAGACAAATGGAATGTTGGTAGATACACCTGCCCCCCAGAATTGCTTGCAATGCAGCATTTGCGATTCAAGTAAACGAATAGTAATTTTACCGCCTTTCTTCTGAATCTTATTGAGTTGACACTCACCTTCCCTATATTCTTACGACGTACACGAATCTCACTAGAATTCTTTGAAGAGAAAAAAAGCATCCAAAATGCTCCCTTGCACTTTAATGTCCACAAACCACTCCGTCAAAAGGATATTTGTGTCGGTATAACATAGGTTGGGATTCGTGCATAATCAGTAAAATCCAAGATGTCTAATGGCTTTGACATTAATTTCATAGGGAGCCTTAGATTCCCATCGACAAACGAAAAAATCCAAAATTCTGCGTAAAATCTCTGGTCTTGGTTCCTGAGGTGATAGATAACAACATACAAGAGAAGACTTCTGCTTTTACTCCTAAAAAATTTCCGGTGAAGTTTGTCGCAAGACCAGGCGTCAATTTAGAAAATACAAATTCAACAAGTACAGTAACAGTACTATCCGCCCTTAAATAAAATAGATCTACAGTTTTCATGCAAAAACAATTAACGTCCAGCACCATGTTATATCGTTAGCATTTATGCGCTTTCAATATATAACTACAACCTGATAAGGAATTGGTCCAGCGTGATCATAATCCACTGGCGGTCCGTCGAAAAACTCCATGAAGCTTTCAGTAGTAGTATATGGAAAAACAGGGTTGATGTAATGCAGCTCCATCGGTCTACCATCATTCATCTTGAATCAATACTTCAACGACAACAGGACAAAGGAAAAGGAGCAACCTGCATATGATGTAAATCACCACACGCCAGACTAAAAAAATTAGTAAAGGAAATAAATGAGTAAATCCGGGATTCTCATCCTCAACTATCAAATTTCGTTTTCCAGGAACAAATTCGTCAAACAGAAACCTTCCAGTAGAAATATTATCCGTGACCGTGAGTGGAACTCACAACTTACACACCACACAAGATTCTCGCCTTTTCTTCCTCTCTATCTTTCTTCCTTTCCTTTTATTTTCCCGCACATTACTCAGAAAACTGACACGCAAGACGACAAAAACTTCATCATTAACATTCTAGACTGCAATTTCGTCAGATTTTTTTCATCGGTAACCAAAAACGGAGCCAGAAACGAAAGAAGATTTACGTCTCATTTTACCTTAATCTGCAGTATCACATTCCAAAGAGCCGCGAAAATCCAAGAAGGAAGGAAACGAAAGTCAGAGAAACAAGGAGCATTCGAGCCAAGAGAAACGGAGAGGAAGAAGGGACAATGTTGAGTAGAGAGATTGGGGGAAGAAAAAAGCAGCAGTGTCTGTGAGGCAGGGCCTAGAGAGAGAAAGAGTGGGAGAACGATAGAGAGGGGCGTGTAATTATTTTATTATATATGTCCCTCCCTGGCGTTTTCTCTGTTTTATACTTTTATTTATTTGTTAGGATAAATATCAAATCAATTATTTTTTTTTTAATAAGAAAAATCTCGGGAACGGGAATCCAACGCTTTTCTAAATTCTAACTTTCTAACATGAGTTTTTTTTAAAAAAAAAAAAAAACTAGTCGGTTTGTAATTTTGTTTTTTTTCTCTTTAAACCAATGGGAAAAAAAAACTCTCATAGCCTAAACTATTTATAGAAAAACTGAACCTCTAAGCTCATATTTAAGGGAAAAAAATTGTTTCATAGTAAATTGGACAAATCAATGTGAGGGAATGACTTAAAGAACTAATAATACTCAAATCTGTCAGATTTGGTAATACAGAATTATAGGTGATTTTGTCGCAAATTAAAAAATATAATCTACTAAGTTCTGTTTTAAATACTACCTTCGATCCTATTTATAAGAGCTAATTGACTAATTTGAAGAGATTAAAGAAAGAAGTTAAGTTAGTTATTTATAATAAATAGATGTTTTTCTTAAAATATCCTTACTAACCAATACATAAATATCAGAGATAAAATAGATTAAGGTCTTATATTTAGGACCAAAAAAATAGCCTAATAAGGTCTTATATTAAGGAATGGAGGTAGTATAAATATTAATTTGTAGTGTAATTTACATTACAAAATATAAATTAACTCTTATATTTAGGACCAAAGATAGTATAATTTATAGTATTTGAATTAGTATCAATACCTCCAATCTGTCTAATTTGGCAATAGTAAATTTTATGTGATTTTATAAAAAGAAATATACAACATAATCGATAATTTATTTAAAAATGCAGCATAAAAAGTGGTGCTATTATTTATAAATCGTTAATATTGTGGCTTGTATTAAACTTTATATAATATGGAATATAGATATGTCTGATTAAAAATGAATTTTATCTTGTATAATAAATATGGTTGCAAAAAAAAAAAAAAACTGCTAGCAACAAAATGATTGCATCGAAGCAGAATGAGATATTACCCTAAAATATATTATTATTATTACTACTGCTATATTTTGCCATTATTGGCGTGATAAATGGTGACATTGATTTAACAATTTGCCAGAATTTGTTTGACCGCAACATTATTTAAATATATGACTCTTTAATATTAGATATCAAATAATTAAATAAAAATAAACTGTATATTATACTTCCTATGGTTTTTAATATAAAAGTTAGCAGATTAAAAAAATTAGTTACGTTAGTTATTTGTAATAAATATGTATTGTCTTTCTTAAAATACATTTACTAAATAAGTGTATTAGCTAGAATTACTATTTAATGAAATTTTTAACATGTACAGCCACTACAAGGATTATTTTAAAAAAAATAGATAAAGATGAAAGACAAATTGGATTACGGTTTTATATTTAGGATCAAGTTGACCGTTAAATTAGTTCTTACATTAAACATCAAATGCAGTAAAATAGAGAGGTTATTCAATCATCCCACTTATACATGCATTTCTTTTTCATAGGAAAACAAGGGAAGAATCACTGTATGATATTTCAAAGGAGGAATTTAAAGCCCGATAACAACCAAAAACACATACAATAACAAATTTCTATATAGAAAATGACAATAAGTTTTTATTACTCACTTATCAGTAATTAAATTCCTTTCTTAAAATACAAATAGTAATTCTTCCTATAATATGAGCACAAACATATTCCAATATAAGAACCTTAAATAACTACAATGTCATGCATTTAGACGTGGATTCTTGAAATGGTGGTGAAAAAAATAGATTCTCACATGTTGTAAATGTAGGAGTTTGATAATTAATTTATAAAGATTAAAAAATTAGTTAAATTAGTTATTTATAAAAAATATCTATATTATTTTTTTCAAAGTTGCTATAGCAATAATTTTCATTGGAAACTACTCCCATTGTAGGGAAAAAAAAAAGCCTTTTAATACCTGTAATTGGCACAGAAAATTTAGGAAAAATTGTAAATTTAAAAAATAAAATAGATTAATGCTTTACATTCAATCAAATTTATTTACAAATATAATTCTTATAGTATGTGGATAAGGGAGAGACCGTAAATGACAAAAAGAAACTATAATAATGAAAGCAGGCCAAAACAGTGGCAAAAACATGCGACGTGCATGGTTTTGTCTGTGTGCTTGCTTTCCTTCTGTACGCTTGTGAACCACAGGGAAAAGGATTTTTAAAAGAAAACAAGGTGTTTAACTTTTTGTAGACTGATCTACGGTTGCAAAACCTACTAGCAAATCAGGAAACAAAATAAATAAAAATAAAATACTATATTTGCGTGGAATTTATTCATAGCAAGTTAGGTGAGCAAAAGCTGCAATAGTTTCTTCCCCCAACTTCTTTCGGTCCAATTATCTTCAACTCACGATCTGCCATTAGATTTTCTTCACAGGAATCCAAACATGTCGGCCTTTTTTTTTTTCAATGTGTGTGTGTGTGTGTGTGTGTGGCTGGGAATTGATAAGAATGCTTGCTTTAATATTATTGTGGCGGTTCAATGAGTTGCTGTTTGCCTCCATGATTTTGGGTCATTTGATTATAGTATATCATACTAATTTTTTTTTGCCAACATATTATATTATATTAATTAAATTGAGATATAAATAATAAATAACCAAGACTACCTGTCCTCTTTAAAATGTTTGAAACACTAAAATCAAATGAAGATTACTAACTAATTATAAAACTTCCTTACTAATTAATCAAATTCTTCCAACAAATAAAATTTATTAAGAATAATTCCTTATATTTTACGGGATACCTAATTTTATTAATTTATGTATAGCTATTATTACGTATTTATAATAAAGACTGGAGGGAGCAACACCCATAATATATTTATCTTTGTTTAATTATTATCACAGCATCATGCGTTACTAGATAAGTAGCAAACGCATTGAATGGATGGCCCCATACACATACTAGGCTTTTAAAAAAAGCGTAAAAAAAACATAAAAAAAAAAAAGAATACCAAATAAAGTTATTGACCGAGGTTTTTTAATTAATAATCTATTAAAAAACTTAGCTATTAATAGAGCAAAATGATATTATGTGATCCATATAACTGACACAACTATCAAGATAATGTTTTGTTGTTATTGTTCACTTACTCTGGTTATGTATTTCTTTACTTACAACATTGTTGTGCTAAAACAAGCAAGGATAAAAAGGAATAGAGGTGAATGCATGGGTGAGTAATACTACCTGCAGTTCTTAATATAAGATCTCGTTTGATTTTTATTTTGATCCTGAATATAAGGCCCAAATTCACTTTGTCTATAATATTTATACATTTTTTTCCAAGGCAGTTTTTTTAATAATAGTAATTTTAGCCAACACACTTGATTAGCAAAGATATTTTAAGAAAAATAACACTATTTATTACAAATAACTGATTTAACTCATTTCCTTAATCTTCTCAAATCAGTCAACTGATTTTTATAATTAGAATCGGAGATAGTATGAAGTTATGGACCATGGGACCAGAGAAGAGCTTCATATATAAGCAAGCAAGGAATTGTGTATTTGAAGGCAATAATAATCATAGGGGTTAGGCTTTAGGGAGAGCCAGAGAGACAAGTCTCTGAGAAAATGCAAAGAGACACACATGCACACAGATTAGGACAGAGAGGGGATTGGCCTAAATTAGAAGAACAGGCGGTCAAAAATGCGCAAAAGATCATCAAAGCAGAAGATCAAATTGGTATTTCTGCATCATACACAGACATGTCGCTGTTTTGATAAAGCATTTGCACAGAAGAAGCATTTTTGGTTGGGTCTACTTCTCCAAAGTTAAAGAAGGGAATCCCACTTTATTATTAATCCCAGATTTGGAATCATAAGGTGTCCCTTCACTTAACTATTACGGTAAAGAATATTTTAGCTGATTTTAATGGCCTTCAATTGCGTAAATTAACGACTGATAATGTCTTTCATTTCTAAATATTTGACGATAAAATTCTTTAAAAAGTAATCCTCATTGTTTTATAGTACTACTTCCAGTCCTTAATATAAGAATTAGTTGACTAATTTAAGTAGATTAAAAAATTTAGTTAAGTTAGTTATTTGTAATAAATAGATGTTGTCTTTCCTAAAATATATTTGCTAATCAAATATATTAGTTAGAACTATTATTATTACAAAGACTATCTTAAAAAAAGAGATAAATATGAGAAACAAAGTGGATTAAGGTTTTATATTTAAAATCAAAATAAAAATTAAACAAATTTTTATATTAAGAACATGAGGCAGTACTATATGTTATTTTATTAGTGAAATAATAATGAGTTTAATCAATATGAATTTTATTATATCAGATTACACAAGTTATCCGCGTATAACTTGGAATTCAAGAAGATTTTGTATAATTCAACCAATATTTTAATATCTAAAATGAGTATCTTCAAAACAAATAATAAGGATATTATAACAATAATAAAACTAAGAATTTCAAACCAATATTTAAAGAAAAGAAAAAGTTACCCCCTATTTTTCTCTCCTTCATTCTCAAGTTAGTCAAACTACATTTTAGAC